TTTTCCTTACATTTTACAAGATTTTCCTTACACATCCGCAGTTCCGTACATATTCCGTACATAAATTTTCTATAGGGCAAAAATGGTTATCGAGGAAGCTGAGCTTCAAGTCTCTGACTCATACATACCTTATATATCAGAAGTACTTACCTGAAATTTATCTTAATCAAAATCGCGCGACACAAAAACCCCTTTATATGATCTAGGTATCGGAATATTAATTTTTGATTTGAATTTTTTCTCATACTTATTGTAAGAAATGCTTACCCGAGATGAATGACTAGTTAAATGTAGCAATCTCTCTTCTCCAGAAATTACTACTTAACTAGTTTATATCACCTTGAAAGATATATAACAACAATTACGCATATTCAATGAAGGCTAAAGAGTAGGTTTTTAATTCTCTTTTGTGTGGAGTAGTAGGAATACCCAATTTAGCCTCAAAATTTCGTTTATATTCTAGAAAATCAATTTCATTCATGCTTTCACGCTCTTTTTTCCAATAATTATGATTATCCCGCAATTCAAAAGCAATCTTGGCTCGCCATTGTTCCAATTTTTCTTTTGACATTTGGAATTTTTCTTGTAAATAAAAGATAAGAGTATCAATATCAGATTCGTTTTTGATAAGGTATTCTGAAGATAAAGAAATTAAGGATTCAGGTATTTCAATCCTAGTTTCGGTAATGTTTGAAAATTTCTCGAAATTGTTTGATTGATTTTGAGCCAATACTATAGAGGACAATTGTGGTAAATTTGTCTCAAATTTTTCGACTATGTTATTGCAAGAATTCTTTTCACAAACCTTATTATTGGATTTTGAAATGGTGATATCACTAGTTATGGGTATAGAATTGAAAAGTTCTTGAGTTTCATTAACCGATTCAGATTTATATGGTGGAAGAATCGGGACTGTAGGGTGATAATTAGGATCCTTTGATTTTATAGCTATTATTCTTTCTATAGTTTCAAAACCAGCTCCATTATCTGGTACACGATAAATCCAATAAGTGCGCTTCCACACTCGCTGATCTTTTGGCCCCGAGAGCCTTCGCTCACTCTTGATAGTATAACCACACCAATTATTTAGTATTGCATTAATAAACTTTATTGTAGCATTAAGATCTGGTGTTCCTTTAGCTCTAGTTTTAAAGCCAAAGAGTAATAAGGCATCTTCTTGAATTTTAACAATTTTTTCTTGTGATTGCTCAAAAGCCTTAGCTACATCATCACCAGAAAGAATATTTGTGTCATCAATATCACTAAAACCTATCGATTGGACAAGATTATGTA